CCTTAGATTCCCAGGCACATCAGTACGAAGGTGGAAGTAGTTGTAAGACAATTTGAGTCTATAGAAGTCTAGCATACCTCACCTTACACATCACCTTTGAGTTGGGCCCTAAACACCAAGGTATTTGGGTGCCTAAAGATGCAGATAGGTACCTAGTGCCTAATGCCTAATTCCCCTTGAGTTAAAACCCCTAACTCCTCCACCCCTTCTTGTTTCAGCTGCTGTTCTTAATGCCTCTATTGTCTTTGTTTTTTGAATGCACGAGACGTGTTGTCTGGCCTCTCTTCTTTTGCCAATGTTATTGTGCAGAAGCCTGTGTAAGACATCTTCACCCATCTCTTGAATCTAACCCAAACAATTTTTATTGTTAACACTTAGATAACACTTCTTTTTCATGTTTTTCTTCTCTTGGTTTCCAGTCTGGCCTGGAAGTGGATGTGTCAAAATACCATAAAAAACTAGATGCTATTGAAAGCAACAGAGGGTCCTGTGGCACCTTTAAGACTAACAGATGTATTGGGAGCATAAGCTTTCGTGGGTAAGAACCTCACTTCTTCAGATGCAATCTTCTTCTTGCATCTGAAGAAGTGAGGTTCTTACCGACGAAAGCTTATGCTCCCAATACTTCTGTTAGTCTTAAAGGTGCCACAGGACCCTCTGTTGCTTTTTACAGATTCAGGCTAACACGGCTACCCCTCTAATACTAGATGCTATTGAACGACTGCCACCACCAGCAGGAGTGAAACACTGGACTCTAGTGGCCAGATCCTCAGCTAGAGTAAGCTAGCAGAGCTCCACTGACTTCAGTTGAGCTACACAAACTTACACCAGCTGAGTATCTAGTCCTAAGTATGCAAGAAATTTTAGCACTGGAAAAATACTTCTAACAAGTAAGAAGACAAGCTACAGACTTTGGCCAAACTGATTCCCTTAAAGCAGTGGTTCTCAACCAGGGGCACACATACCCCTGGGAGTACACAGAGGTCTTCCAGGGGCTATGTTAGCTTGTCTAGATATTTGCCTAGTTTTACAACAGGCTACATAAAAAGCACTAGCAAAGTCAGTACAAACTAAAATTTCATACAGACAATGACTTGTTTATACTGCTCTATATACTGTACATTGAACTGTAAGTACAATATTTATATTCCAATTGATTTTATAATTACATGGTAAAAATGAGAAAGTAAGCAATTTTTCATTAATAGTGTGCCGTGACACTTTTTTATTTATATGTCTGATTTTGTAAGCAAATCGTTTTTAACTAATGTGAAACTTGGGGATGCACAAGACAAATTAGACTCCTGAAAGGGGTACAGTAGTCTGGAAAGGTTGAGAGCCACTGCCTTAAAGCAGGCTACTGGAACTAGTTTTATGATCTACTTATTAACAAGATAAAGACTATGGAGTACTGAATACACAGATAGTTCAGTAAATAGCAGTGCTAACAACAGCCCAAGGCTTGTAAGGTGCTCCATGCCTTTCAAACAGTTCATGCCTTTACCACAAAACCAAACTCTCTCTGTATGTGAGGACCTGACAGCTCAGATCTTTCAGACTGAATACTTACAATGATGGGAATATTAGAACTGCCATAGCTTACAAAAAGGCTGTCTCTTCTCTGTGTGGGAATGAACGAGCTCACGGCATCTTTCATAAGAGGAGCTCCATTGCCAATATGCCTTCTTCCCAGGGCCGGCTCTAGGCTTTTTGCCGCCCCAAGCAAAAAAATTCTTGGCTGCCCCCCCCCACCCCAGCCCTGGGCTCTCTCTTCCCCCATCACCCGCACCTCCTGCCATCCCAGCGCTGGACTCTCTCTTCCCCTGCCCCCCGCACCCCCTACCGCCCCAGCCCTGGGCTCCCCCACCACCAGTGCTGACTCTGCCCGCTCCCCCCTCGCCTCCAGCCAGTCCGGCACTGGCAGGGTCGGGGTAAGCAGCAGGGATCCCGGGCCGCGCCTCAGCCCAGGGTCCCTCCAGCCAGGGCTCCCACCTCCAGGACCGGCCGGGACCCGGGAGGGCAGAGCCGGGAGACCGCCCCGGCATGGGGCTGAGGAGCCAGGGCAGGGTAGCCCCAGAGGGAGTGGAGCCCTGGAGAGCGGGACGCGGGCCCCGCACAGCAGCGCCATACCCTCTGCACAGCAGCGCCATGCCTTCTATGGCCCCGCTGCTGCTGCTGCTTCTGGCCGCCCTGCTACAGTCCCTGGGCAGTTCGGGCCTCTTCACCCAGCCTCGGCTGCGGCGCTGGGGCGCGGCTGCCCTGTGGCACCTGCAGGCGGCTCCATGTGCCCCGCGGGGCGGGCCCCAGCCCGAGTGTCCCCCATTCAGAGCCTGCCCGGCCCAGCCACAAGGTGCGGCGCTGCTCCCCCGCGGCGTGAACCGCAGCAGCCCTAGGGCACCCCCTGCGCACGACGCACTGCAGCTGCCAGGGCCAGCTCTAAGCTTTTGCCGCCGGAAGCAAAAAAAAAATGGCCAGAATGCCGCCTTGAAAATGTGCCGCCCCAAGCACGGGCTTGGTTTGCTGGTGCCTAGAGCTGGCCCTGCTTCTTCCTCACACTGTTATGCATATGCTGTGCATCAGATACACACCTTAGCAGTGGCTGCATTTCAGAATGCTGTATGTAGCTTCTAAAGTGCTGTGAGATCCTTTGAGATGAAAGCTTCAATATAGATATACCTTCAAAAGGTGTTATTGTTTTTTAAAAGTGCGTCCGTTTACCCTTCATTAATTCGGCAGCGATAAGAGCTTTGCAAGGTACACATTGCAACTGAGTAACCCATTTTAGTAGTTAATGTCTCTGCATTTGGGGAATGCTTCTCACACATTTGGTTTATTAAAAAAGAAATGTAATTACCTTAGCCGATGTTTCAAACCATCCCACAAACCCATTCTCCTTGCAGAACTGGTCCATCTTGAGACCGTTGTTCGTAAGCACATCTTTTCCCTGGTCGCATTTGTTTGCTAAGAGAACGGTCGCCACGGGTTTGCCATTCGGGAGAATCAACTTAGAGTCCAGATCCTCTTTCCATTTTGTCACCGCTTCAAACGTCGCTGGTCTTGTAACGTCAAAGACAATAAACGCTCCCATGGCTTCTCTGTAATAGACCCTTGTCATGTTTCCAAATCTTTCCTGACCTGTGATGATGAAGATGGGAGGGAAAAAAATCATTTGAATCATCACTTCCAGGCTGAGTCAATATTTCACATGCCCGTGTGTTATCTGGCAGAACATTATCTAGCCTGCAGTTTAATGCTGTAAAGCTGGAAAGCTACAATTCATCTAAACAATAATACAGAGTGATAGACTCATTTGTGTGAAAATGCCAGTGAGTGTAGAGAGCAGAAAGCGTTTAATAGGGCTAGAGTCTAAGGAAATGTAATAACTTTATCATAAGCTCAAATATTAATAGTGCTAGAGTTCTATTAAGCCAGTAGGTTTCCAGGCCTACGGGAAAATACCAAGGATCTTAGCAGGCTTTACAGATATTAATACATCTCACAAGGCATATAAATGTTATCCCCATTTTACAGATGGGAAAACAAAAGTACTAGAGAAACTAAAGGCAAAATTCTAGCCTTACAGTATAAAACGCACTGTGGAAGGTAGAGCAGCCGTGGTTAACCAAAGGGCTGTATGGTTCACATGGGCCCCAGGACCAACGTGCTCCATAGTAAAGCCCCTGATTACTGCTCCAAAAAGGAGTAATATGCACCTCATGACAATAAGAGCATATGTGCAAGACTAATGCCTGGTCATGCTGCCAAATTGTTTGTTCATGTGCATTTGAAGATCTGGAGTGCTACTGTTATAATAGCCAAGTGTTGTGGATCCACAGTATCTGTGCTGTGCTTCTAGACAGTCTCTTGGAAGAACCAAGAGGATTCACTCTTCCTTCAGGGTAGGCCATACAACCCCACTGCCTCCTAGACTGAGATACTGGGCTCCCACATTCCTTGTTCACACAGTGAGCTCTGTCCAGTGAGTCCATCTGAGAGAGACTCCTGGTAGAGACTTGTACATTCTTCGCCTGCACCCCAGGCAGTGTTTATAGTGACACCCCAAACTGTTTTCAAAACAGAGTAGGGTTTTTTAGTCAGGTGGAACACAGCATTGCCAGTGCGTAAGTTAGCAGAGAGAAATAAAGATTCAAGTATAGTCCATTCTGGTAAGCTTATAGCAATTCACCACCCAAGATGTGGTAAACTCCATTTGCAGACTCTGAGGTTCTCTAGTTGGCATAGGTAATCCACCTCATCAAGAGGCGGTCACTAGAATTCTTCCATAGACCTAGCACTGTCTACACTGGGAAATAGGCTGGCTCAGCTATGCTGCTCAGGAGGTATGGATTTTTCACACGCCTGGGTGACAGTAAAGCTGACAATTTTCTAGTGTAGACCAGACCTTAGTCACTTCCAAAGTCGGAGAGCCCAAGCTTCTTCCAGAGCTCGCACTTATCCTGCCTCATTCCACCCAGTCCTTTGTTCTAGAGCTGGGATCTGTATTTAGCTTCCCTGATGAAAGGTGGAGAAATCTTCCTCCCTCTGGGTTGTTGGTTAGTTGCTCCCATTGTCTTCTCAGATTTTCAGGGTCAGACAGCCTTTTTTTTTTTAATGACACATTCAATCCACTCAGACAGCTAGGTGACACACACATCCCTCCTCTCCTGGCAGAATGAAGTTTGTTTTCAGGGCATGCTACTACCCCACCCCTGGGTAGGAATGCAAAGTATGGGGGGAAACTGAGGCACAAATAGGCTTCATCAAAATGTTACAAAAAAGTCCTGCTTCATCACACCAGAGCCCTGTCTAGCACTCAGAGGAATGCTCAATCTAATCTGCCCTGTCCCTGTTGCATGCGTCTGAGGGTAGCATAGGAGGGCATGGAGCCTCCCTAGCTCTTTGCTCCTACATAGAACAAGGCAGAATTTTGCATGAAGGGATTTTGTGAGGTCACACAGTGCGGTCAGGTGCAGAGTACGGCTCCACTGCACGGGAGATGTGATGTCCAGCTCACGTAGATGGACACATACTAGCTTTGATCAAGCTAGAACACTAAAAATAGCAGCAACAGAGGGTCCTGTGGCACCTTTAAGACTAACAGAAGTATTGGGAGCATAAGCTTTCGTGGGTAAGAACCTCACTTCTGAATTCGCACTTGCATCTGAAGAAGTGAGGTTCTTACCC